AACCCCTCATTTTCCTTCTTCTTCGTTAAGCAAATCAGAGAGGGAGAGGATGAGAGGCCAAAATTGAACCCTAAGCCACCATTTCTCCATCTTTTAATCAAATTCATCCGTTCCAAAGCCAAAAACGTAGAGAATCATTCCCTCATTGTAAATCCTAGTTTGGTTTTGAGTGGGAGGCTTTATTGAGAGAGATCCTTTCCTCCAAAGAATTCGAAATCCATGAAGATTTGAGGAGTTTGAGGGCATTTCATTCTATGGGAGCTTAGAGGACACTCATTCCTTGGTTGGGTGTTCTTTTATGGTAAGTTTTCACTCCTTAAAGCTATTTTCATGGAGATTTCAAAAAGGTTGAAGATGATGAATAGCGATTTATTGAGTTTTATGAGTTTGAGTTAGATTGAAGCTAAATCCCTTTGTAAAAGTTGTTAGGAATGATAATTAAACGGTGGAAAAGAACTTAGACAGTCATTTGGTTATTGTTCAATATTTTGGAAAAATTCATGCTTCAAATGTTGAGTTTCTTGCATTGTTGAGCCATGGTTTGGATTGGTTGTGTTAATGGTGTCCGTTGTGTTGGTAGGATTGAAGCAAGTGGACCATCCTTGAGTGACCAACCATTGGAGGAAACCATGGAGCTTGAGTAGCTCATTTGGATTGGTAAGTTCATGCCTTAATTGTGGTGTGAATTGGATTGTGTGGTTTTTGAGTGGGTTGTATGTATGTTAAATTGATGGATTTCACACTCTTGAATAAGGTGTATTGGTGATTGGAAGGAATTACCAAGTTGAGATACCAAGAAGGATTGGTTTGGATAAGTGAGCTAGAAGAAAACTTGCAAAGGAGGGGAAACATCAAGAGGTAAACCTTTGGATCTTGGAGGTTAATCCCTCTTGTTGTTCCACCATTGCTTTTATAGAAGTAATGGTTAATGGATGGATGATTGAGTGGTAATGTTAGTATTATGGTATATCTGCATTCATATAGTATTGTTGTGTCATTGGAGAAAGGGTTAATGGACAAGCACTAGGGGTTAGGTTGCATGCTTAGTGGAAAGGACTAAGATGCAATTGAAGCTTGTGTGATGATTTGATTGTTTGATTCTTTGGCCATTTGAATGCATGAGTATGTTGCAGTTAAATCATTATTATTATTGCCTCTAGATATATGATGTAGTTCATGCCATGTGTATACTAACCCTTCATGTAGGAAGTGAACTCTGGGTTGGAGGAATTCTCCGAGAACCCTGGATTTGTTGAGTTTTATCTCACCCCGTTTTGGGATTGCTATTTCAGGTATTTGCATGGAGGATGCAGGTCGGGCAAAAGGAAAGAGGCCTGAGTAGATGGTCATATAATAGCATGTGATATGATTGTTTTAAAGTTCCTCACATGTATCTACATTTGATTCCATCCCATATTTTGGTAGAAATTTAGGTATAAGATGTACATGGTTGATAATGTTAAATGTATATGTCATTTGTAACATCCTAGTTAAATGTATATTTGAGGTATGATGTATTTGGGACTTAGACCATGACTCTAGTCATTTTGCATCCTTGATAGTTGAAAGGAGCAAAATAACTTTGATCATGTGTTTTGTTAAGTTTAAGTCTTGGAACCCTGATTATTATGTAATTGTATTTGCATATATGTGATAGAAGGGATTTCAAGCCTCTTTGGATATCATGTGAGCCTTGAAATGGCAAGAATCATGTATTGAAATGGTTGTATAATGTCTATTAGGTGAAAGAAAACCTTTGGGGTTGAGAATTAATATAAATATAAGGATATTATGGCTTGTTGTCCATTTTTTATACCCTATATGATAGATTTGGACCCTTGTGTCTTAATGGAAGTTATAGATCGTTTTCTCAGCTTTCCAACGAGACCAAGATTGCGTCAATCGGATAAGTATAACTTCAGTTAGGGGTAAAATACTAAGGATAGGTGTAATCTCCAGAACTTTGGCGCTATTAGCACCGTGGTGGCGCTAACCACGCCAACATACAGTGGAAAAACGCATTCCCGACGCTATTCTCGCCAGAAATCTGGAAATTCGCTGTTTCGTGGCGCTATTCGCGCCGGGACCAGTGGGTTCAGCACCCTTTTCTTAGAAACTTCATAACTTGGGCTACGGTGCTACGAATTGAGCGTGGTTTGAACCCACGCGTAGCTAATGAAGAGATCTATAACATATTAGGAGATGAGGACCAGATAAGTAGTATAAAATTCCTTAAGTAACTAAAAAGTGGAGGTGTTTAGTGTTAAATAACAATAAAAATAAAAGTACATTAGGTGTTCCACACATTGTTTAAGTTATGTTTACAATTATTGAAATTGTTTTAATTACGGAATTAATTTTAAATAAAAACATTTATTAACGAAAAAGGAAAAAGTTTATCCGTATTATAATTCAATATCTGTGATTGTAACTGCACTTAATGCCATACGCAATGTTAACAAACTGGTTCTAGAACGGGGTGTTACAAACAACGTCAGCATGATCTATGGTGGCTACAGAGGAGAAGGATACTAGGCAATGCACAAAGGAGGTACATGAAGGAGGTGATGTCGGTACATGTCACGCCCAACTTCAAGGAGCCCAAGAACAAAGTCAAGCAGCCACTACTCATCTTCAATGAGGGAGACGTGAAAAGAGTCATACCTGGCCATGAAGACACCCTCATAATCTCGGGCGGTTTGGCGAACGACAAAGTGTGGCGAATGTTGGTCGACAAGGAAAGCTCATTCAACATCCTATTATGGGATGCTTTCCAAAAACTAAACCTGGATCATGATTCATGATGACCTCAAACCCTGCACGACTGAGCTCATTGGCTTCAATGTGGAGCCATCATCCCCAAAAGGGTCGTCCAACCTTGGAACTTGGCCTTTATCCAATATCAAGTAAACTCTAGGTAAATAAAGGGTTAAGCCTCACATGTAGGGGTGCTAAACGAACCAGGGGCCTTTGGCTCGGCTTATGAAGGCCTGAGCTTATTTGTCTAAAATTGATTATTAGCACCAGGCTTGAACTTGTGTAAAAGCTCGTTTAATAAAAAGGCATCAGGCTCCAATTCAAAAGCTCGATCTTAGAGTCTCTCAGGCTGGCCTAGTATATATATATTTTATACTACTTGTAATAACCATTTTTTTCTCCTCAATCCATTTCATCTCATTTTATTGGTTAAACAGACTTCTTGAATGATTTTGTTCTATATTATGCGGTTTGGATATACATTGAATTTATGAATATTTATGGAATTACTAGTATTGTTGATTGTATATTCTGTTTCGGTAAATTTTTGTTGTCTTATTTTTTTAAACAGGCTAAACCAGACTTTTATTTTTTGTAAATAAGTCAGGCCACAAGCCAATAATTATATTTATAACAAGTAACAGGCTTGACTAGGCCGACACATTTAAACACAGGCTTAGTCTCTTAAGACCAAAGTTCGACTCGGTTCGGCTCGTTAACACCCGTGCTTATATGTATGATGTATCTCTCTTGAAACCCCAACCCTTCTAAATGTTATTGTGCATGTACACACACTCCCTTTGACTCTTCGCCTATTGGTTGTGGACAGTGATTTGCAACTACACGCAACTGTCTCATCTATAGACACGTTAATTCACAGATCATTTAACCACCTCGAACCATCACGATCGAACAATAGTTATGGTTGTATTTATAAGCTATTGTGTCTGATACGCTTAATAGCAATATTTCTCTTTGATTGGTAGACTTAATGTTACTACGGGTGAGCTTAGAATGGGAAGCCAAAAAGCCACCAGTGATATAGAGGAAGTGGAGGTAGCCCCACCATGGGCAAATGCTTTTTTACCTCCCTCTACCACAGTGTCTCTTTCTGGGAAGCTAAGGTAATGAATGGTTCTACAGGAAGTGATACTGCTAGTTTTCTAAACTGTAATAGAGAAGGTTAAATTGAATGTTTTACAGGGTCAGAAATGGTTATTTCTACACGTAATTGGTCATGAAGCAGGCGAGTATGCACAAACATGTTATTTCTGAATCCATACGTGGAACTGTTGATTGGAATTAAAAAGGAAATTTTGGTGCATCTATTATTGCAACAGTGAAATTACCAGTTTTTAATTTTACATTTTCTGCAGGCTGCCGTGAGAACTAGACTTGGTGGTGCTGCCAGCATTATTGGGGTTGATTTGGAGATTTAATTGTATGTTACTATGTTAGAGAAGATTTTAAAATAACTCGTGCATGAACTAGGGTAGTTGATTTACTTTCTTTTTTTTACACGTCACTGCACAAGGTTTTTGAGATTTAAAGAAAATATTCATAAAATTGATTGCCTACTTTATTTACAAATTAACATTGATTTTTAGAATGAGGAAACCTCAAATTAACTAGATCTGGTGTCATGCGAAAATATTTATTCACAATAATAATATGAACATTTTCTAGATTATGGCCATGGGTGTTAATAAAGATTTTAAAGGACTTGGTTCTTTATTGAGATCTCTTAATAAACTTTAAAAGAATAGGGTGTTTGAAAATTTGAAGGGAGTTGGTAAATACTAAAACAAAACAAACAACAAATAACTGAAGAAATAGAGAGAGAAGGTGCCAAAAATGAATAACAAAAGTGAGTGGAATTAAGGGTACCGCAAAAAGATACAAAATATTGAGTATCAAACTGGATCCTGATTTTGAAGTTGAACCGATTTTGAGTTTTTTGGTGCAAAATATTAAATAAATATAATTACTGGGTATCTTAGTCCCATTTGATGTTTGGCCATAACACTAGTTACTAAGTTCTAACACCCAGTTAGTCATATTGCTAAATTAAACTATATTTATGATATACATTTATATATTTGGTTCAACCGGTTGGTCTGATTAAACTAGCAACTCATTAACCTAGTAGCTTAATTAATAAGTTAATAACCGATCCAAATTTAATAATATTGCTTTAAGCATAACTCTTTTAAAATTCAAACAAATAATATATTGGAGGCAGGAGGCATAATGTGCATACACATTTTATATGCAAAGACAGTGGGACAAAGAAAAAGAAGAGAAAAAAAAAAAGCTAGAACTATGGTCTAGAATTACAGAATACACAGTGACCTTTGTTTCCATCTCAATTACACTTGCTTGAAATGCAGAGGCAAAGAAACTGTTTATAACACTGTAACACGAGAGAGAGAAAAACCACCTTTGAGTAAATGAACATGTAGACACTACGAAGGAACAATTGAAGAGACCGATGCTTTGTCACTAACAGAAGAACTTCTCTTGTGCTTTACTTGTCTGTCCTTCAACTTCTCAACCTTACTATTTCCATTGTTCTGATTGCTAACTGATCCTTCTTGAGCACTGCACATCTGAGACTTTATCTTAAACCCAAGCTTCTTAGACACAGTTCCCCATGTACTTGATCCCTTTGCACGACCCAATTTCTCAATCTCCTGCCTCATGTTTGAGCACTCTTTCTCAAGCTCAGATACCCTCATCCTCATGTTATCCATTCCCACTTTCAAAACCTGATTTTCCTTCACGGCTGACGCCCAGCCACCTTCATTAGATCCAACAAAACCACTTCTTAACGGTCTTGATCCATCAAGATTATCTGAAACTAGAAAGCAACCGGCAATTGAGGTCCGAAGCTGGAGCTGCTCGAAAAATAGAACTTGAACTATTATTCTGATGGGTAGCCTCTCATTCTGTGCAGCATGTGTGCATGCTTCTAATGAGAGTTTCTGGCAGTCCATCAGCCTACATAGTTGCTCTCTCTCTGACTCCACCAACCATGGGTGAGACTGCAGTTCACAATTGGCCAAAAAAAAAGACATGTTCTTAAGCCCTCTTGCTGAATGCCAGATATGTATGCTAACTAGTGCTAAATATTGTGTAAGGAATGCAGAAGCATAATATTCAAAAACTGTATATAAAGTTGACACAGATATTTGGTGTATGCCAAATATGCTTTGGATAAAATATGCGCACTCAAATGAAGGACAGTGGAATCAAACATGGGCAAGAAGTGCTATTTATAAAAAATAATTTGAACACCTAGCAGAAGCATTGCAGAATTGAAATAATATTGGACAAACATTATAGTATTAACTCAGGCCAAGAAATGGCTCACTTGTGGCATGACATATGCTAAATTTAGGCCTCAACATTTGCATGTAATGCACAAAAATATTAATGCATGACAACTTGGAATTGATAAGTACCTTCAAATAAATGTCTATGGCACGATATAAACCATCATCAAATGGCCTGGCATACTCTGGAACAGCAGCAGCAAGGGCGTGAAACTTAGGAAGTTTTAAGTTAACATCTGGGGCAACCTCTGCCAGGTAACCATCAATCAGCTTGGCTACCATGGTGATTGGTGTCAGTGAAGGTGATCCAATCAACTGGACATCATCGATTGAGCACGGAGAGGCAGCACCTGTAACCTGATCCATGGCAAGGAAATGTTCAAGAATTCTTTGCACACAGTCAACATTGTAAAGTGTCTCCATTGAATATGAGAAATTTGGCATCAAGAGATCTTCCAGAGTAGCTTGATCAAGCTGCATCCCAATCCGTTTCTCCAACTTTGATATGCAAGAGGGGTCCACTCTTAGAATCATGGCTGTTCGAAGTAAACCAAACAGAAACTTTGTTTGGACCAGGCCCTTCTGCATTGGGAGTAACCTATCAACCTCTTCCAGCAGAATCTTCTGGTCTTCTTCACATGGAGGAGACCCCAGTGGCAAACGGGTACTGGACTCACCAGAAACCTGACGTCGATTTAACCCAGGCAGATACTTTTTAGCATAAAAAGCAAGAGAACCGGCAATTATCTCCTGCCTAATGCCCCGAGATTCCATGACAGCTATCAACCTCTTATAAAGAGGTAAGCTCAAATTCAGTACATCCTCATACCACCAATCTGAGCTTGAATTCTTTGGTCTTGCCCCAGTACTTATTCCATTCCACAAAACACTTCCACCAGGGCTCTGCAACGGCCCTCCACGTTCCAGTACTGGCCACCCAAATAGATTTGGGTCAGTAGAAGCCTTTGCTGCAAGTGATTCAATGCACCTTTTCACAATGTGGAGCTCTTCGGCATTGGGCAGAACATCATCACAGGTTTGAAGGGCCCTCAGAGAGTCTTTCCAACTTCGGAGGACCACTTGATTGAAAAAGGTTTCGGCCTGCGAAATAAGATTACCTTCACCATATTCCTCAGTCATTTCAAGATGCTCCGCAGCACACCAGAGAGACACAACATTTGATGCTGTAAGTTCAAGTTTCACACCATAGCAGAATTTTGCCACCAGCTCAAATGTTTTGGCCCCGCCTGGAATGTCAGGGGGGTGTATGACACATTCTTCCTCTGATTCAGAAGCTTCGGCAATCAATCTTTCTAAAACCCCACTTCTAGAGAGCAAAGGAAACTGCACTAAGAGTGTTTGGATTAGCTTAACTTATGTTCACAAACGCTTGTATTCAAAATACATAGAGCGGGCATTTTTGCTGAAAAGCTATTTTGTGAAAAAAAAAAATGCAATATCAAACATGTGCTAAATGATATATGAAGGAAAATGGAATTATAAATTGGTACTGTTTTCCATAACCAGAACGAGATACCACTCCCCTTTTCACATTACATTTACATAATGTCCCAAGACACTAATATAATAATAATGCAATATCTAGTGTTTTTTTAGCTCAGAAACGATCTCAACTATAAATTACATTTCAACAGCAGCAATATCAAGCATTTTGAACTACTTGTAAATTGACAGCATAATTCATAACATGTTAAAAATAATATAGTGCTAATGTACTAACATCTTCATTTAAGCTTTGGCAAATTTTAAGTTAACCAAACCTTAAAATAGCTATACATTTAAGTAAACTATTACCATCCATAAAAATATTGCCTCAACTAGATTTGATAAAAATAAAAAACCACTCCCCATTAAACCCTTACTAGCAAGGGTAGGGGAGGCAATCTTTGTACGCAACTTTACTCTTGCATATTTACATAGAAATTATTCGCTAGTTTCTAACATGTGACCTTTCGGTCTCAAAGGAGCAGCTTCACCACTAGACGAAATTTAAAAGAAATGATATTATATACCTTGTGAAGATGGAAAGACATCTCACCAACTTCAACAACTATATCACTAGGAAGGCCAGTCGTGCAGAACCTACAGTTATAGCAGCCAAGAAGAATTACACAATATATAAAGGTAAAATTTAAAACAAAATTCAAACAGACATTTTGCATCAGGTTGTTCTCAGAATAGTCACATGTAAAATGGCTTATTTTAAGAATCCAAGACAGGAAAGAAAAATGTCATCCTTCACTGTTTGTAAAATCATATCTTGAATAAATGTCAATCTAACTTATCTTGAGAGTACTAATAAAGGAAAAGTATGGGAACACAAAATCCATGGTAATAAGGAGTGCATTGCAAGGTCATTTATCTGGTCTATTGCCTATCACGCAAAAGGTTCCCTTGACTCTTCGTCAGAGGTGGTATACGCATATACATGCCCATTCATACCACTGAAGATAAGAAGCTTAGATCATTTCCTCACAGACCATGAAGAAAATAAGTCAACTTAAATAACCATACAATAAGTTAAGAATAAAAATTACAGTTTTTTATCTTCGCTGATAATCCTGCTTCTATCAAAAGGGCAACAATGCAAACCTCGTGCACAGGAAGAACAAATTACAGATTTTTGCCAAGCATATATCATGTTTGACAAATTATATCAAATTAAGCACCCCACACACAACCCCCACCCCACCCCAAAAAAAAGAAAATAAATAAATAAGAAAAAGAAAAAGAAGGAACTTTTGTACTTCTGCATTACATATAGGACTCAAGCACCAAACCTGAATTTGACATAGAAGGATCTATCAAGCACTATATCCAATTACTACACTTAAACATGAGTTCACTATTCTGAACCACTTGTAAACACTGAAAGTGGCAAGCAAGCATTTCAGTAAACCGACAGTTTAAATGTAGATAAACGTGTTCTTCCTAATTCAACAAAGGATATCACATTTGAAGAGAGAAGAGAACAATAACAAAATTGTAATTTACAGAGCACATAAAGGAAAATGCTAGATACCAGGCCTGCCCTTGACGCTGGAATGCATCAGCTTTGGAACCCAATTTCATACAAGCCATTTACTCAAATCCCAAAAAGAGAACAACTCCTCCAGAACAGAACCGAGTTATGAACAGATCTGAGTTCAATTGAAACCCAATCAAACCCTTCTGAAACACCGTATCACGCTGAAATCCTTAAGCAGCACCAAATGAGGCTTCCAATTCTGACAATTACAGAAACAATTGGCCTCAAACCAGAGCACTTGCATCAACAAGATACAAAACCCCAGGAAAAAAATTTAAAAAAATAAAATAAAATTGTTTCCACTAAACTCTAATCTGGTTTCAAAATTTTCTACCCTTTATCCCAACAACATCAAAATGGATTCACAATGTAGCTTCTTTTCATTCTCTCCCCCCAAAGTTAAAACCTTTAGCGAAATTCCCAGTAACCCACCAAAACAGCAAAGACGAATCCACAAGCAGATTCAACAATAACACATGAAAACCCTAGAACCACCCATTATTCGCACACACCCACTTGCCAAAACCACTACAAACTGAACCTAAAAAAAAACACAAATTCCTTATCATCGACCTAGTTTAGGTCAACAACCCAGTTCTCTGCCCCAAACAAACAAACAAAGAATAAAAACCTAAAACCAGACCATTACCCAAAAAAATAAAACTAAACAAGACACAAGGGACCAAAACCACTCATCCACATCAAAGAAAAACGACACATAAGTCACTGTGTGGTAAAATAAAAAGTCTCTGATTGAAATGATTTATAAGACATAAGAAAGCATTGACCCTCTCCAATCAAAAAAAAAAATTGCAGCAACCATGTGTTTGGAAAGTGTTGTGCATAGGGCAATGTGGTATCATTAATGTCATTTACATCTCAAAGGACCAACCAAACACATGTGGGGTCCTTGTCTTCAAACACACTCATTGCACTTTTCTCGAGCTTAGAATCTCTTAATCATGCACTTACTCGATTTGACTTTAGAGAATAACAGTTGAACATTTGAATCAGTTTATTATTTTGTGTTTATTATGAGGGGTGTTTTTCTTTTGTTTTGTTATTTATCGCTAGTGTCGGTTTCTTAAGTAAAAGCCACCCTGGCTAGGCCATGTGCGTTACAACCCATAGCTGGTTTTGAAAATTATAAATTAGTGTCATCAAAATATTAAATTTGCAAAAACTGACTTGGACTTTGTGATAACTGAAATTCTAGAAAGCTTAATGAGTTTCCATGGCGTGCAAGGGCAGGAACTACTGAGTAGTTACCGGGATCTTTAATTGCTCATGGTGAGTCAATCCAAGACTATTAATACTTAATAGGATTCGGTAGATATGAATATAATAACATAAGTTTTATTTTATGTTTAGTATATTTAAAAAAATAAAATAAAACAGACTATGAGATTAAAAAGTATTATATTTTAATTTTATTCAAGAAAAAAAAAAACAAAACTTAACACGATGTTTCAATGTTTCAATTCATTCTATTTGCATACTAAATACTACCGTAAAGAGTCTCTTTAAGTAAAGTGAACAGAGTGGTGGGGAAGTAGGAATTTTATTTTGAAGGCTCAATTATTTGGATTGAAATTTACTATATGTGGAGGGGTGTAAGTGGTTTTAGCTTAAATAGGTTAAATCTATATAAAATATTTTAAGTCTATCTTAATTTATTAGTCTAATTCAAGTTAAATTATAGATTTGATCTGATTTATTTGAAAAAAAAATACAAGGTTTGATATAGCCTATTAACCCCATCAAGCCTTCAAAAATCATATATTATGTTCTATAAATTATCGGCTTCATTAGCTTTATGTCACATAAGATAATACATTTTTCCTATTGACTTAAAAAAATAGTGGATTCCATTTTTTTTTTCTTTTTAATAGGACCCACTACATGTTTGTCTCTATGGTTGGAGACATTTTCTCTGCTATGACATAAGACTAATAAACCCCCTAAATTATAGGGTCCCTCGGATCTGCCGTAACGGCAAATAAAGTTATCTAACATAGATACATTTAGGTTGTGAAAATGTGCTTGTGTAAGACAACTTTATTCTACCGTAGAAGCAAATATATTTTTCCCTAAATTATATATTGTTATTACTTTGTTTTCCTTGCATATTTACGTTGATGGAGTCACAACCTAAAATATTGATAATTTAATTACACGATTGGAAATATAAAACAAAATAATAACAAAGATGTGGAAGGCTTAATTGAATTTCAAGAAATATATTCATTGACTCAAAAAGAAAAATATTACAACTACGTAATTCCTAATACATAAAAAGTAATATAGTCATATGAATAAGATATTAGAAAGAAAAAAAAAAGTAAGAAACTAATTGTGTTCATATATCACTCGTATAACACTATCTTATTTTCTTAAAATCAAATTCGGGTTAGAAAAGATAAAAAATAATCAAATATTATTTTAAGGAAAAGTTTAAATACCCCATGTGCTTTGTCATTAAATCACTTACCCTCTGTGTTTTTTGTTTTTTAATCATTCACCCCTCTGCTTTATTTCATCCAAGTCATTCTTTAACGATGTTAGCTCAAAAGGGGGAAGTGTCCAATGTCTTATAAATTCCACGTTAGTTGCACATGTAACTAATGTGGGACTATATATCTCAACACGCTCCCTCACACGAGAGCTCATTGAGCTAGAAGCGTGGATATTGCACATGCTCAATTTTTTATTTATCTTTCTGTGTTTTTATTTTAATTCCACTTTAAAGTAAGGGGCAGTGACGATAGAACTTGTAACCTTATAACGTAAAGAACCTTACCGCCCCCACTTCCCATTATAGTCACCGCCCCCCAGCTGGTCCCTGATCAAACAGAAATTAGTTTGTGGGAGAGGCTTAGGAAAGCTGCACTATTGGACATTGAATCAAGCTCCTTTTCTTAGGACATGCTCTCTTCACTGTACCATACTGAACACAGCAGTAGCAATGAACATTCTGAGGATGAAATGAACAAAGCTCTTGAGGTTCATCGTTTTCTATACTTATTATGTACAAACAGCAGCACAATACTTTTTTAAGTTTAATATAAAGTCCTTCAAATTTTAGGAGTGAATAGCAAATATGGTTGATATTTTAGATGCAACTTGTATCATAGATTGCCAACATAATTTTCACATGTAAGCCAATGTGCACCCTGCATTTGGACATCATTTTTGAAATAAATTTATCTGTGCCCTTCTAGTTTTGGCTATAAACTTGATTATATCATTTTTTTTAGCTTAACCCTGAGAGTTAGATACAGAGCAAGTAAATGTGGTTTTCAGCATGTTGATAATTGTTAGTTTTCGAAGTTATAAAGAATGTTGTCTTGTTGCTGGTTTAGCTTCTGTCCAATATATTTTCGCTTAATGCTTCGTTGTACAGCATCAGTACCTATCATGTTAATTCATTATAGTGTGGAGTTAATAGCATTACCTATCCTATTTTTGTAATAAGGGTAGAATACACATATTCGATAGCAATTCTAACACTATTAAGGAAAGATTTGGATGGAAAAAAGTACACAAGTAAATGATTGAAAAAAAAGTACAAAGGGTAGGTGATTTAAGACAAACCACAAAGGTTTATTTGAACTTTTCCCATTTATTTTATTAAAACGAGATGGAGATTTAGTGGGCATGCCTTTTAAAATAGATATAGATACGTGGCTTGATTTTTCTTTTTAGAGTTATCCAACTCTAATTATCTATTTGAGGCGAATTGGTTCTCCCATTAATTCCACAAGCTTTGGCTCTTTGAGTCGGTTATGAAACTAATCTGGAGTGCGATGCGGGTCAGAGATGAAGATATTTAAATACCTTCCAAAATTGATATGTGGAGATTGTTGAGTATAGCTTATACTTCGCATGCTGACGAGGTCCCTTGTTGTCGGGGTCAGCAGAAAGGCAACTGAATCCCGCTCCTAGATGAGCGGGCGAGGGTACGGGGGAGCCGCCCCAGCGCGGATCCAGGGAGCAGCGCCCCTAGGCCCGTAGAGGCTAGGTACTGTTGTGGGCCTCTGATCTATTGTAATTTTTTCTTTTCTTAGTAGTTTGGGCTTGGATCCATGAATAGCTGATGTTAGGGTTTTTCTAATCCTATTTATATTCTCCTTGTAAACCGAGTGACTTGTAACAAGTTGCGGTGAGATGAATATAGTATAGACAAGATAGATGTAGCCTAAATTGGGTGAACCAAGGTAAACCACTGTGTCTATTCTCTCTCTCTTTCTCTTTTCGTTGTGATTTGTGTAATTGTCGATTTCCAACATTTGGTATCAAGAGCTTTAGTTCTGCGGCCGGAGTTCTTTTGTCAGATTGCGGTTTCGCGATTTGGGATTTTTTCTTGGCATAGAGAAAACTGCTAAATTGATCTGAGAGGATGTCGACTGGCCAATCACGGATCGAGGTTGAAAAGTTCGAAGGAAAAGGGTTCGAGTTATGGAAGCTGAAGATGGAGACTTTTCTCGTTAACAGGGACGTGTGGTACATGATCAAACATGAGAAGCCATCGGGACCAACGAAAACTATCGGTGATGGAACGTCAAGTGAAGGCGAATTGAAGGCGTGGACCAAAGATGATCGAAAGGCGCGAAGCCTGATCTGGTTATGCCTGGCAGATAACGTTCTAGTGAAGTGAAGAGAAGACCGCAAAGGATCTCTGGACGAAGCTGGGAGGTCTCTATCAGAGCAAGACACTCGTGAACAAGTTGTTCTTGCGATGGAGGCTGAATAGTCTGCGGATAAGTGAAGGTGATTCTTTCTCTGCTTATTTAAATGAATTTAATACTATTTGTGCGCAACTTTCTTCTATAGACATCAACCTAGATGACGAAGACAAAGCTTGCACCTTGTTGTGTTCACTGCCCAACTCTTGGGAGCACATCATTGTGTCAATTGGTACTGGTGTTAATAAACTGTCATTTGAGACGGTTATTGCTGCCTTATTATCTGAGGAGATGAGAAGGGTAGGTTTTGAAGGTACTAGCAATAAGGCTCTGGTTGTTAGAGGGAGGAGTGGTGATAAATCAAAGTCTGGTAAGAGAGGTAGATCGAGGGGACGGTCAAAGTCCCGTGATAAATCTGAAATAAGGTGTTGGAGGTGCAAACAGGTTGGACATCTGAGAAGAAATTACAGAAGAAAAAGCTTAAGTCCTGAGAAGCGGGATGATTTTTCTTCGGGTACAAAGAAGGATGATGATGATAGTACAGGGGACTTGTACAGGGCGTTTAACAATCATAATGACTGCAATGACTGAATTATTGACACTGGAGCATCATTTCATATGACACCTCATAGGGAGTGGTTCTGCACCTATGAATCATATTTTGGCGATACAGTTAGAATGAGAGATGATACGACTCATGCTATTGTGGGGCGTGGGAAGGTAAAGCTGCAGATGAGTGACGGGCTATGTAGCACCGATACGACACGCGACACGTGACACGACACGACACGACACTCCGACACATCAATCTTAAAAAATTATGGATTTCGACACGTTGGGACACGTTTTAATATTAAATAATATTTTTAATTTATATAGTGTATATTTCATTTAATATTTAATAATTTAACAAAAAAATGAAACTAAATTAATAATACCCATCAACACGTTATAAAGATGGAAGCTTTAATAAAAAAATAAGAACTGGGATGAGAGAGATATAATATCAGATAGAGAGATCAAATCATATTAGAGAAGATACAACAAGAGCGTGATGGGAATTGACAACAATGATGTTGAGATGATCTCTTATCTACTTAAGGGGAA